TTTGTTTGTTTGCTTGTTTGGTTTTTTGAGACAGGGTCTCACTATGTAGTGAGACTGACCTGGAACTCACCATGTAGCTCAGGCTGGTCTCGAACTCACAGCGATCCTCCTGCCTCAGCCTCCCGAGTGCTGGGATTATAGGCGTGAGTCACCATGCCCGGCCTTCAGTTTTGATTTTGACAGAGGGTCTCACTAAATTACCCAGGCTGTCACTGAACTTCCTATCTCCTGGCTCAGACTCCCAAGTAGCTGGGATTAGAGGTATATGCCATTGTGCCTGGCTAGAAGAGAATTTTGAGTGTTCTTACTACAAAGAAATGACAAATGTTTACGGTGATAGATATGCTAGCTACCCTGATTATTAGACATTGGAAATAGGTATTAAAATATCATATTGTATCTCATAAATATGTGCAATTTCTAGGTGTTAATTAAAAAAAAAATCAAAAGCACCTAGGGGTGACCAAAATAGACAAGATTAAGGATTTCCTTTCTCTAGAAGTTATTTAATTCTATCAGCAGTCTTTTTCCCTTTTTTCTTTTCGTGGTGGGGACTGAACCCATGGCCTTACACATGCCAAGCACCCATTTTACCATTGAATTACACCCCCAACCTATCCAACAGTCTTAAGTTACCTAGCATATGTATTCCATTTACTTGTAATAATAAAAAAGAGGGAGGGCCAGGGATGTAGCTCAGTGGTGCTGCCGCCTCCCTCATAAGTGCAAGGTCCCAAACTGGATCGCTGGTACCCCTCCCCCCCCAGAGGGAAAATTTTAGTTTATGACTTGCTATGACTTGAAACTAAGAGTCCTACTCTTACTGTGTGCAAGTCTCGACTTAGCCGAGATGTTAAAAACAGCTTTAAGCCTATTATCTCATTTCTCTAATATCTCACCGAACTTGATTTTCCACGTGCAAACAAATGAATGTAACCTTCTTTGTCTGAGATAGCTTAGTATATAATTGGGAAATCTTTGGACTTATGAGCTATGTCAAACGACAGCCAAACTCAAACTGTAAAACTTAAATGTACTATAATAGAAAATGAAGAAAACATTAAATTTGATCAGTTTTACCTTACCTGATTTTGTGGTTGGTCCTTTAATGGAATATTCCTTCCAAAATTCCAACTATGAAAAAAGCAAAATTTCCAAGTTTATGTAATTTGTTATTATTTCACTTATTCCCACTGACCTGAACTAGAAGTAAACTCTTGGCATGAGCCACACCAGTTCATTCAAACCAGAGGGTGTGGCTCCCTCCAAAACACAATTACCCACTGCTGCCTGCTGCTGTCTGTTGAACTGGTCAAGGGCTTACTTGCTGCTGGCCCCAGGTCTCTGCCCCAGGTCTTTGCCCTGTTATTCTCCCTTTAACTGACCAGGAGCCCCACTAAGGCATCAGGAAACCAATGCATTTGAGAGTTTGCAGAAGTCCCAAACGTAGAGGATGAGGCAGTGGTCCCACTACTGTGGGAGCCCGGCCATGACCCTCAAGGTGTTTCACATTTGAAAGGAAACTTCTTCCTCTACAATTAAGGCATTGATCCAATCTATGTAACATTTGTCACTTTTCTAGGACTCTGCTTGTTAAACTTGTTTTTTGATCCTGCAATGGGAGAAACTCAAAGAGACAGCCACAGATCTGATGTTCTTTGTAAAGAGTCATAAAATCCGGTCTTCGCATGAGATAAAAACAATTGCTTGTTTTCTGTTGTTGTGTGCCTTTAAAAGCTTCCTGTTGAAGTGAGCCTATAAAAGGAGCTGTTTCTGTGAAATAAATCAGACTTCTCTTGGTCTCCACTCAGGCTTGAGTGTTCTTTCCTTTCTCAATCCTCACTCCCCAACTCAGGCATGTTCGTGCTGTGACAGCTGGGCCACCACACACTACCAGGTTTGAAAAGAAATTTGAATTTGTCTCTGCTAGGGGTCCCATAAATTGCTAGGAGATTTTATTGAAACATATTATTGCCTTGGAAAGACATCACTGAGACAGTTTAAATCCAGTGATACTTCAAAGAATAGAAGCAGGTTTTGAGAAACTGATAAAATTAGAAAGTAGGTTTGTGAAAAATAAAATCCTGACAGGCACAATTGCAAAGTATATGCTTTAATCTTCTCTCCCTCCCTTTCTCCCTCCCTCTTTCCCTCTCTCCTCCCTTTCCTCCTTTTTTCCTTCTTTCCCTCCTTCATCTGTCCATTCTTTGACACAGGGCGTTGCTATGTAATCTAGGCTGGCCTCAAACTCTCCACCCTCCTGACTCAGTCTCTGGACTGCTAGGATCTACTACACTTTAGTAGATGTGGCAAATACTTGGACAAAATAGGAAGCTGGGCACAATTATGGAAGAACAAAGAACTATGCTCCATTATTGCCTGGATTTGAAGGATACATGGGAAGGTCCTTATCGAACAAAAAGTAAAAGATGCTTGAAAAGTGGGGAAAGGAGCTGGGCTATGTAAAGAATTTGGATCACGTAATACTCCTCAATAACATGCTAGGTTATAACAAGCATAGTGTTATATGTCTGTTTTGTATGTCATCAAGATTAACAAAAAGGATCTAATTATTTTGAGACATGGTCTCTCTAAATCTCTAAATTGCCCAAGCTGGGCTCAAACTTGGAATCCTCCTGTCTCATTCTCCCAGAGTGCTGAGATTACAGGCATTTACCATCACAACCAGTAGGGGACGGCACTGTTGTATGTTTTGTACCCTGACACATAGTAGGTTGTTTTGCATCTGACACATAGTAGGTTGTCAATAAATACTTGAAATAGAAACATTCGTAGTCAAAAAAGGTAAGATTACTGTAGAAGAGTAGATTTGTAAATAATCGAGGCTTGAGTTAGAGCACAAATTCAAATAACACCCCCCACTCTACACACTTTGGGTGCTAGGGATTAATTTATGGCCTTGCACATGCTAGGCAACTGCTCTGCCTCTGAGTACTTTCTTAGTCCTAAATAATATCTTGAAGTTTAATTCACTCTGCTCTGAAATTGTTTTTGACTATAATAAATATTAAACACAAAAATCACAGCATGGCCCATAATTCACTAATTATGGTAAACCCAACTAATTAAGGATAAAATAAGTCTGAAAGGTAAATTAGCATTTTAAGGCAGTAGAAAGAGATAACAGTATATAGCCTTCATTTTGTTTAAAGCATAACATCTACAATGAGTGAAGTGTCACTTTCTTAGGTATAATTTAATAAGGTTCCAGCTGATTACTATAATCAAGCAAATTACCGTTTTATCTTCATCCAGGAAAATCTCTCTGGCTTCCTCATAATTACAAAACTCTTCAAGGCACTCTCTTTCTAGGTTGCTGGGAAGGAAAAGCTCCAAATCAAACCTATTGTACAGGAGGCGGCGATGTATGAAAAAGTTTGCTTCTTCTTTTGATGCAAAAACTAATTAAGAAATTAAAAAATTCAAACACTGATAAACATAAAGCATAAAATTAGTGTTTTAATTGTAGAACAAGCAAATAGCTCTCTTGATGTGGTTAAGTTGTACCAGACTTTCTTGTATGACTTTATTCATTTGCTTTTAAATCTAGTTGACACAAAGGCAAGGACCGATTTATGATCATGATTAGTTACCTCATCTGTAAAATACAGCAAGGGGACTGGACTCTGTTGAGTCTCTTTTAGCTTCCAAATTAAAACAAAACAAAACAAAAAAATGCTGAGTTTTGTTTTGTTTTTATTTTGGATTAGGACCTTGTGCTTGAGAGGCAGGTGGTAGAACCTCTGAGCTAAATCCTCAGCCCCAAATGCTGAGTTTTATATGGATTCCACTGTTAATCCTATAATTTTGAAGGATTAATTTTATAAAGGGAAAAGAAAAAATCCAGTATTTTCTATTTAAAAGAGACAATAAGTGTAAATTAAAATTTATTTTAATGTTTAATTTATGACTTTAGGATCTAAGAATTCTGTAAATTGGAGCAATTTTTGTTACCACGCTAAGAACATGGTTCCTGTAACTACATGCAACCTACAAAAATATAAATTATTAAAGAACCAATGGTTTATTTGTAAATAGGGAGGGGTAGAGGGGTTAAAGGGAGGGCAGGGAAAAAACTAAGAACCAAGATACATCATGTAAAGGTACAAATTCCTAATGATGAATGTCATCATATTGTATACCTAAAATGTACCAATAAACTTAATGAATAATAAAAAAGCCAGTGGTTTAAAGAAGAGTTCATTTAGATATCATAAAGTATTTGCCACTAAGAGTAAATGGGAAATTTGACAACTATAAGTAGTCTTTGTGATTTAAGTCTTTGCACCTCCCAAATTTAAATACTGTGAGATCTTCCGCTCCAGTAACAATCCAGGTAATTACATCAGCATCCATCTTGATTTTGATGGTGTGCTATTTTATGTTTCTTGGGAAATAAAGTCTTAGTGGCCTGGGTAATGATTTAAAATTATAATTAAAAGTTTAAAATAAACCTTTTTAGGGCTCAATTCTTTCTGACTGTGTGAGTAATTTCATTAAAATCCTTAGGATCCACAACTTCAATGAAGAACTCAGTGGATAATGGGAAAGAAAACACAAATACATTTTAGAGTATTTGAGATAAAGTTCAGAGAGAAGGACATAGTAATATTATAATAGAAAATGCATGCACATATATGTATATGTCTAAGTTAGTTCTGTCTACTATTAGCACATCTATGTACAAGTATCTACATAGTACTTGCTTCTTGCCAAACTGTTTTGTTTTTGTTTTTTTACTGTTACATGTTTGCAACACATAATGATTACATTCCTTGTGGGTAGTTGGTACATGTACACAGCACATCTTCCTTTTTACATCTTTCCCTCTCCTCCTCCTCCCATCCTGCATCTCTTTGTCCCCTTCCCATCTGCAAAAGCTCTATTTCCCTTTATCTATCTTTTAGTTTGCTCTTTAATTTACTTTTACTTGGGGTTTCTCATATAAGAGAAAACATTCAATATTTAAGTTTTGTATGACTTTAAAACCTGACCCAAGGAAATAGCATCACTAGCTGGGCACTGGAATTACACATCTAATTCCATCTATTTGTGAAGATCAAGAAGGAGGAGTGAAAGTTGTAGAGCAGCCTGAGAAACTTAGCATGACCTTACCTCTGTTAAAAATAAAATAAAAATAAAAGATTAAGCTATAGCTCAGTAGTAGAGTACTTGTCTAGAATGTTCAAGTTTGATCCCTATTACTGGAAAAAAAATCCCATCATACAGTATTTCAAAGCCTGCAAACTTTAAAATCATTCTGGTGTCACACAAAGTTTAGTGATTTTGCTCAGATCATATGCTGAGAGTGGAATTCAGAAACCTTCTGACAACTACATCAAAGTGATAAAAAGAATTTAAAAGTCCTAACCATTACCAGAAGAATATATTAAGGCGAACAATTAAAAGACAATTCCCTAGAAAGCATGACTTAGATAACTAATGCTGATTTGTGAGTGATCTTGGGTTGGCTATTTATTCTTAGTCCCTTGAGAGCAGCTACAGCTTGTTCAAGATATTTTTTTTTCTACAAATTAATTATCTTTTTAAACAGATCTGAATTTTCTAGAGCCGTTCCATCCAATACAGTAGTCATGGAACATTTATAGTTACCACGCCCTTCAAAGGTGGCCAGTCTGGATTGAGATGTACTGAAAATACAAAATACCCTCAGGATTTCAAGGATTTAGTATGGAGGGGAAGAGAAGAATGCGCTATATCTCCTTAAAGTTTTATGCTGTTCTACTTTGAAATAATAACATTTTGGATATTTGGGTAAGTTAAACACACTATTAAAATAAATTTCATCTTTTTCTTTAAAAATGTGTCTTTTAGGAAAAATTAAATCATTTTTGTAGCTCACATATTTCTTTTGTCTTGCACTATTCTAGAATGTTGGTTTCTATGCTATTGATAACATATGGGCTATTGGAACAGTCAGAGAAGCTAGGATAGTTATTTTATATTAAAAAGTGGAAGACAGGCCAAAATACTTCTGTGCTTTTCCCTCACTTGCCTTCCTTTACATTTCATGTTGCCGCCAAGTGAAGAAAGAGTGGAAAATTTTCCAAGCCTCCACCATCCTTCCCTCACTGGGTCTCCTATAATGGCTTTCCAAGTGGTATCCTTGTTCCTCTGTGATTTGTTGTTAAGACAACAGCCAGGGGGATCTTTTTAAAAGCTGTCAGATTGTGTGTGTGTGTGTGTGTGTGTGTGTGTGTGTGTGTGTGTGTGTGTGTTACTAGGGATTGAACTCCAGGCTCTCACACTGAGTTACATCTCCAGCCCATTTTTATTTTTATTTTAAAATTTTGAGACTAGGTGTTACAAACTTGCCTGGGCTGGGCTCAAACTTGTGATTCTCCTGTTTCAGCCTCCCACAGGGCTGGTATTACAAACATGTAATGCCATGCTTTCTTTGTTTGAGACAGAGTCTTGCTAAACTGCCCAGGCTGACCTTGAACTTGTGGCTCATGTGCCTTAGCTGCCACACTTGCTTTTAAAGCCTCCTAAGAGCAATCCCATCTTCTACAGAATAAAAACTAAACCTCTCACAATGATTTATGAGCCCTATACAGTTTGGTCCTCAAGCCCTTACTCGTCTGACCTCATCTCCTACCTGTTATGTATTCTGTTGAAGCTCTTCCAGGTTTTCTTTCAACACACTTGGTTCTCAACTGCCTTTGTATTTGCTGTTTCCTTTGAATGGAATTTTCTTCTTTCGGTTTGCTCTCACACCTCCTTCAGTATTTTGTTTAATGTTCCCTTGAACTCTCATTTCTACCCACCCACCTCGGACACTCCCCTGTCCACACTGTACTTTTCTTCAGAGAATCAGCACTACCTGGGGATCTATTTACCTCAATTGTCTGTTACCACTGTTCTCCCCAGCCTGGCCACAAAGAGGTGTTGAAAACATTACCAAATGAAAAAAACTCAACTTTCCTTATGTGGGAAGACATTCTTGGCCATAAATTTAACCAGCAGAAGCAATTCACACGTATAATCTGGTGTTACTAAACTTGGCATAGGTTTAAAGTATTATGAAGCAAATGTGCCACAGCTACTGCATAAACTCTAATTTCAGAGTAGAGAATAAGAAATCCACTTTTGTGTTGCTAGTTTTCAGATCTTTATTTTTATTGACTAAAAGAGCAGTGCCAAATTTCTCATGTTCAAGCATCTGACTTACAACTCTTCTGTCTGGGAACTCAATAAAGCTGATTTTTTTTTTTCCTTTTTGAGACAAGATCTTGCTACATGGCTCACTTGCAATTCTCCTGCCTCAACCCCCAGGGTGCTGGGATTATGGGTGTGTGCCCCCACAGCTGGCCTCATACTAAAGCTAATTTTAACTTGAAGGGAAAATACAAAAGAGAAACATAAATATTTTAATTTTCATGCCAACATCATACATGATATTTATGAGTAATCACTATATTGTGATCGATACTGTATTAAACAGTCCCACCAGGAGATGCTGTTTGCTGCTTTCCTGAGTGTCAAAGCAGTAACTCTGTCAGTAGCTAACCTTAGACTTAATCTCAGGACCAGGTAAAGTTTTTAATCTGTATACTTTATGATCTCAAGAGAAATACTGTCCTTTATCTCTTAGAGTCTAAGTAACCCTGATTTTGTTTCTAACTGGAAGGAAGCAAAGTTTGCTGCCCCTGGAAAGGCCTTAGTTCCCAGTGAGAGAGTCTATTTTCCTCTTGATCACAGCTGGAGGATGCAATGATCTTTGCATCTGCTTCCTTAAAATTCTCTTCTGCTCTGTTTTTCTTGCCTTAGACTATCCTAAGAGGGTGTCTGTGCATTCCACTGTTACAAATCCATCAACCTAAATATTCTACTTTCTTCCTATCTTCTATCTTCCCCATGGTTTCTAAGTAAGTTCCTTTTTAAATCATTTCAACTCTACCCTCAGACTTTCTGAGAATTTAGCTGAAGGTCTACCCCTCTTTTAATTACAGGTGTATTCCCTAACCCAAAGCCTCATTTTCTACAGATTCAATTACCTGAGATCAACTACGGTCTGAAAATATTAAATGGAAAATTCCAGGTACAAACCAGTCAGAAGTTTTAAATTGTATGTAATTATGTTTTTTTTTGTTTTGTTTTGTTTTGTTTTGAGACAGAGTCTCACTATGTAGTTGAGACTGACCTGGAACTCACTATGTAGCCCAGGCTGGTCTCGAACTCACAGCGATCCTCCTGCCTCAGCCTCCTGAGTACTGGGATTACAGGCATGTGCCACTATGCCTGGCGTAAATTGTATGTAATTCTGAGTAGCAAGATTAAATCTTCTGCCTCTTGCTCATTTCTGCCCAGAATGTCAATCACCTTTTTCCAGAGTATCCACACAGCATACATTACTAGCTCATTAGTTAGATCAACTTCATGGTACTCAGTGCTTATATATAGCATTTTCTCAGTAGTATCTGAAGTTTTAGGGGCCCACTGGCAGTTTTTTCGAATAAATCCTCTGAAGATAAGGGGAACTACTGTGCTTTCCACATCTCCATTTATTATGTCTTATTTGCAGATGGAAAGCATTGGCAGGGTGTCACACAACTCTCTTAGGCCAGGGTTATGCTACTCTTCTCTGCTCTAGAGGTTCTTTGTTTCTATTTCTGATACAGAATTTAAGGAGGTTGTATGTTTACACACACACACACCCCGTCTCTTCCACTGATAGAGGTGCTCCAGGTCAGGGATAACTCTCCTTCATTTGTGCAACTCTAGCACCTAGCTTAGGTCCTGAAACACAGTATATGTTCATAATGTAGTTACCAGTGAAACAAACTGGCTTGCAAATGTGTCGGATCTCTCATCTTCATATCCTGTAGATATCTGTAGCCCTCTACCCTCAAGCATGATTTCTAAATTCCTTCCATAGTGTATAATGTTCTTGAGAGTAATTTTTATGCCTATGTGTAGTGAACATGTAAAACATAGGATTTTGTGACCCACAAAAAGCAGAATTAAGCAAAGTAATCTTCATATCCTAGATATCTGTAGCCCTCTACCCTCAAGCATGATTTCTAAATTCCTTCCATAGTGTATAATGTTCTTGAGAGTAATTTTTATGCCTATGTGTAGTGAACATGTAAAACATAGGATTTTGTGACCCACAAAAAGCAGAATTAAGCAAAGTAAAACTAGAGTGAAATTAAGTGAGACTTGATAGCTGACAGCTTGGAAGCTGACAGCCTGGATGCTGAGTGTTAAGACAGATAAGAGTTTGCTGTGACATGTGGGGAATTCCCCCCCCCGACCGTGTGCCGTGACACATGACTGCTGTGACATAAGATTAAGAGTTTGAAGTAAGGTAATGCGAGTGTTGAGGAGTTAACTTAGATAGAGCATATGGATGTATTAGATTAGAAATGACTTAAAGTATAAAAGGAGAAGACTACAGACAGATGACGTCGCTTGACGACTCCGTCAAGATGACCTGCTGAAGCTCTGCCCGAGACGCAGGAGCTTCCAGACCTGGAACAGAGGATCTGCATCCCTGCTCTGTCCGAGATGCTGACACGCTGTACCTGATCCTGACTGCCGAAACATCGAAGTCGCAGCTCGACCCTGCGAAGCCTGAGACCAGACTACATCTACCAGGTCGTATGCCCTCACCTATAGCATGATAGCATTTATGATTGTGTTAGAGATATTATGGGCTGGCATTATTTCTGGATTGCGCTGGCAATTGTAGTTGTATCCTTTGTGTGGGCTTGTATTTGTATTGTTAATGAGAGTAAAAGCATTGATCAAAACGAAACCGAATTGGCAATCATTGATGCGCTGACCCGTGATCCCGAAACGCAAATCGGTGCTCGCGACAGTTGGCGTAGTCGGCAGGATCACGGGTCGACACCAAATTTTAAAACTCTTTACGAGGATTTTAAATTAGAAGTTCCTAGTATCCTTTACGAGGACTAGGAAGTTATTAATTTTAAAGCCTTAAATTTCGTTTGCGGACCACTGAGTGATTACCATTACTCCACGAAGCCAACCCAGGCAACTGGGGAAGAGCGGGTTATTGAAGAGCAGGGAAAACTCAGGCCGAAAACACCACCCTCTCATAAGAAGGGTGCTGGAAGTAGGACGCCGCCGACGCCACAAAGCCAACTCAGGAAACTGAGGAAGAGCGGGTTGATGCGCATGGCGAAAGGGGAAGCAAACGAAACTAAGGCATAAAATTTTAGAAAAATTGCTGTTCTTGAGCTTTTAACAACAACAAAAAAAAAAAAAAAAAAAAAAAAAACAAATAACTAACATCTTGTGTGGCCGGTACCAACTCCACGATGCCAACACAGGCGTAAGCCTGCGGAAGAGCTGGTTGATGAGCGGGGAGAGCCCACAAGAAATAACTTGCCGAAACACCACCCTCCCTAAAGGTGCGGAGTAGGCACAACTTGCTGAAAACACCACCCTCCCTCAGGGTGTGGAAGTAAGCACTAACCAAAGGCTGAGAACCACCACCCTCCCTCAGGGTGTGGGAGTAAGCCACAGGGATACTAACAAAAAGCTCAAGACCAGGAATAAAATTGGCTATTAAAGGAATCCAAATTGAGTTTAAAACCTACTAAATTCTGTACCTCGAAAATTGATGCGTAGATTCTTAAGCAAAAGATTTGAAAACCTGGCAGATCGAAAATTTTTCGAATTGCTAAATTCAAAAGAATACATTGGTGATTGTCAATGGTATTGGAGAAAGAAAGAAATTAAGTTCTTATATTGGTGTGCTACAATTCTGTGGAAATGAAGCGACTAATTCAGAAATTTAAGAAAGCAAAAGTGTCCCCAGTTACCGGACAGGTGCCCAATGATGGGGAAGAGAAATGGTTGGAAACCGCCCAAGCTGTAAAGGGACGATTAGGTATGGCGCCAGTTGATATAAATTTTGACCTAATGGACCCTGATGTTATCAAACCTTTAGTTGAGACAGCACCAAAGAAACAGGTACCTGCATTATTAATGAAAACTGTGCAAGATTTAGATAAAGATAGATTGATGGGCAAAAGGCTAGCCATGAACATAGTGAGGAAGCAGAGGGAACTGGCCATTCCCCCTGATCCCACATTCGTAACACCTTCCCTCCCGGTGGAAACTGTTACTAAAAAGACTCCACTAAGAAATTTGGCCCAGAGGATTAACCCCTTCTCCTCAGGAGGTTCTAGTTCCTCCACTGCAATGCCCCAAACCCCGGGAAAGGAAATTGTGGAGTACAGGCTGTACACTCCTCAGGAGTTAGCAGATCTGAGACGAGATTATGCCCAAAATGGAGAAAAAGATGCACAATATATAGCAAGACTGTGGGAAAAAGGGGCAGACACAGTCACTCTACTAGAAAGAGAAATGAGAAAGATAAAGGGGATCATAGAGAATCCATCTATCTATGATGCACTAGAACACGTCTTAGATGCAGCTAAAGGTGACACCCATTCATTGTTAGATTGGATAACAGCGGCTTGGAGATTAGCTTTCCCAACTTTAGACCTGACTCAATTTGAGGCTGCAGCCACATGGAACACCTATCAGGACGCAATTAGCATACTGAGGAAATTGGGAATACTTTGGTTTATATACAATCAAGTTCCTACTCCTTTAGCTTCTCCGCTTCAGCCCGAGTTCAGAAAGATAATTGTTAAGGGAGCTCCAAATCACCTGAAAATGAGCTTGGTAGGAAGCTTACAGAATTGCAGAACCATAGATGAAGCCATACAATTTTTCAAAGGCTTTAGAGAATTAGAACAGGACAGAGTAATTTCTTTCCAAGTTAATACCAGAAACTTTAACAGAAGAGACAATAATTTTTATGGACAACGCCAATTTAGAAATATAACTGCCAGAAATGACAATAGAGGGTCAAATCGACCTAATTGGAACCCGAGAAATGTTACAGCACAGGAAGACAGAAATAGAAATAACACACGCTTTAACAGGCCAAGGATACCTTTTTTAGGAAGAAGGGGACCTCGAGTCCCCAACCGCAACAACAACAGTGCGATCAATCGCCAGCCACAGGGACAAGGAGAAAGGAGGTTTTTCACACCAAAGCCAGGTTGGATAAGGAACAGGCAGCAACCTCGCCGCAATTAGGCGATTTGAGACCTTTCGTGAACATACCAATGAGAACAAAACAGGGCTTACAGCCAATTAAATGGCTCCTAGATACTGGAAGTCAGATAAGCATAATTACCCAACATCCAAATCAAGCGAAAGGGAAGAGAACTATGGTCATTCAAGGAGTGAATAACATAGATAGAATGGTACCAATTATAGAAGTAGAACTGCAATTATATGATAAGATATGGAAATTAGAAATGGCTAGTTGCTTTGCACCTTGCAATGTCTTAGGTATAGAACATATAAGATTGCTTTTTCCAGAATATTTGCAAAATAAGAAAATTAAGAAATATATGGTGAATTTAGCTGAAGTTAAGGTTGAGCCTATAATGCTACCTGAAGTTAGACCATCATTTACACCACAATACCCCATCAAAGGAGGAATAGAAGACATTACAAAGACCTTGGATAATCTAATCAAGGAAGGAGTAATAGCCCCCACCCAAAGTTTTAATTATAATTCCCCAGTATGGCCAATATTAAAGCCAAATGGCAAATGGAGATTTACAGTAGATTACAGGAGGATTAATGAGCTAAGCCCAAAAATGCCAGGAACATTACCAGACATAGAGGATATATTTTTGAAAATCAAACAGGCAGCCCCCAAATGGCTAGCAACTATAGATTTATCAGATATGTTTTTCGGGATACCTCTACATCCCTCATCCCAAGAAATCACAACATTTACATGGCAATCTAAACAATATAAATTCCTGAGATTACCACAAGGTTATATTAACAGTCCTATTATAGCACATGCCACCTTGATGGAGACTATTAAGGATTTTGAATACGAGGGAGCAGAAATAGCCTCATACATAGATGACTTAATAATTTTTGGTAAGAATAAGGAAACAATAGATGTAATATTAAGAAAGTTAATTCAACATTTAAGGGATAAGGGCTGGACCATAAACCAAGATAAAGTACAGGGACCCAGCCAACAAGTTAAGTTTTTAGGAGTACACTGGTCAACTGATGGCCCAAAGATTCCAAATGAAATTATTGATAAGATAGATAACCTTAAAGAACCGACTAATAAATCACAGGTACAACACTTGATAGGAATGTTTGGCTATTGGCGCCAACACATTCCCTATCTACAACTCTTTTTACAACCCTTATATAAGGTAATTAAAAAGGCACAAGATTTTGAATGGACAGATACACAAA